GTTTCCACTACAAATACCATTACAAACCATCAAGTGTTAACCATTAAAACCATTGAAAAATAGGTTTCTGTAATGTGTTTTGGGACATATTCCATTAGGATTTAGTGGTTTTAACAAGCCACCAATAGAAGGCAACCACTTATCAGTAGAAACCCACAGGGTCCATCACAGTTTCCATTAAAACCCCGTACAATTACCATCATAACCAGTAAAACCATTACAAATTTTGTGATGGTGTCTATTGTTTTTTCAGCAGGGAAGTACTACAATATGAACAGGCACAATGAATTATCCCCCTGATCTTGAACATTTGCACGCATCCTTGCCTACAAAACCATTTCCCCTAAATACCTCCATGGCACCAAATTCCAAAAACCTTTTAGACTTAAAAAAAAAAAAGTGTTTATAGTGTCTCACACCAACCTCCAACTTCTCTATGCGATCTTTGAGTTGAAGAATTGCTTTCTCCAGTTCCTCCACAGCCCACGCCGTCTGCAGCTGTACTGCAACCGAGCTGCTCACATCGTCCCCGGCCATATGGCGACGGTTGCCTGCCCAAACCCCCATACTCCTCTCGTGCAGACTCCTTTCCTCCAGTCCGCTCTCACACTCCGAGAGTTTCCCGGTGAGCTCCGTGATGGTCCTCTGGTCCATGAGGATCTGGTCGTTTTGCTGCATGACGATCTGCCGGAGCTCCTCAGCGGTGGTGCGGAGGCTCCAGTCCTCCTCATCTGCAAACGGGTCATCGGCTTGTTGTCTCAAACCCCTGGATTTACAATCACTGATGGGCACAGGGGTACAAATGAGTCGATTGAGGGTGAACTGTTTCGGACTTGGCCCAGTCACGTCCCCGGTACTGAGCTCATTGAGCGACGGCATCTCCAGGCCGATGTCCAATCCGCCGCCTTCATAAGATTCAGCACCATGGAGAGCTCCGAGCGGCCCGGCGTGCGCTACGGATCCAGGCAGCGGCTCCAGGAGCGACAGTGAGCGGTTGCCGGATAGCGCCTGGGGCGCGGCGGCCGAGGATCGTGAATACACGCTGGCGATGATGCAGATGACCGCGCCGAGAAAAGCCAAGAGGCCGGCGGAGACAAAAACCACGACGAACTTCATCTAGCCGATTGAGATTTACAAAAAAAACTCTGGATGTAGTTTTATCGATGTTTAATATTTACAAACGGCCGGTTTTCACCATCAGAAGCAGGTCTGGATGAAACGAAGGTCGATCGCATCGGCTGTTTTTTCCTCCGCTCGCAGCAGATGATGCTGCGCCTCCTCCTTTTCTGTTGCCAAGTGCCCCTCTGGCCGGTTTCTATGGCTACCGCGCGCAATAGAGGGTGGTGAGAGACTGTGATGAAAATGCGTGATATGTGTCACATTGATGTAAACAGCTTTTGGGGTCTTCATCATCATCTATGAATACTCTGAACAGACTGCGTTACTGAAGAGAAAAATACACATTAGAACATTATGAGTAATTCTTGATATAAAATAATTTCGTAATGAATCTGTCACTGATATGACAAAGATGTCTGATTTATGTGTGAATGTATTTATGTTTTGTGCATCATTAATGTAACCTCACACTCTTGTGTTAAAAAATTCATAACTTTATCAGATATGGAAATGACAGTTCTGACCTTTAAGCTCGTCTAAATAAATTATCAGCTGTTTAAACATCCACTAAACCAGTGGTTATATGTGGTAATGATATAGTATCTTGAACACAAAAACTAATTTTAAATGTTTTTGAAAGAAGTCTCTTTATGTTTATTTGATTAAAATAAAAGTTACAAATATGTTTCTGTGAGTGGAAGATACATTTTTCCAGTGTATCAATGTGCTGCTTAATTTTTAAGTGGAAACCATGATACATTTTTTTTTCAGGATTCTTTGAATGTTAAAATAGACGGCATTTTTGAAATACAAATGCTTTGTTTTTGTAACAATGTAGAAATCTTTACAGTCACTTTTGATGAAATTAATGCGCAATTGCTGAATAAAAGTATTAATTTCTTACAAATTCTGACTGACCAAATATTAGAAGAGTATTTCATATACACACACAAAATTAAATAGTAAATTAAATATACGCCACCTACTGGTGTATCAATGTACTCCAGCTCATGTATTGCAGGCGTGGAAAGTGAAAGTGTTTCCATAATTGACTAACTAATACAACTTAAAAAAACATAGCTCTAATTACTTAGGCGAAAATCCCGATGACGTTCTCTTTCTAATATGTATGTGAAATAGTATCAGAAAATAAATTAAAATGTGAGAAAGATGGAAAAAAAAACATCAAATAAGCAATTTACTATATATATAAACCTTGAGTGTTTTAAAAACAACATCTTAAAGTGTCATGTAAGCAATTTACTCGATATATATAAACCTTGAGTGTTTTAAAAACAACATCTTAAAGTGTCATGTAAGCAATTTACTCGATATATATAAACCTTGAGTGTTTTAAAAACAACATCTTAAGTGTCATGTAGTCCACAATGCATTGACACAGAAATCACAATTGCAAAAAAGAAAAAAAAGAAAAAGTTATTGCTTAAAATGTGAATTTGTGCTATCATAAATTATAAAACACTATTTTTTTTAAATATACAAAATGTGCCAAGCATGACAATGACACAGTTTAAGTCTATACTGATGCGTTGTCTGTATTTCTTTAAAAAAAAAAACAAGTTCCACACTTTTCAGACACAAGGTCTTTTTACCTAAATAGTCTGTGGCTGCGCTGATTTCATGAATTTATTGATTTATAGAATAATCTTATAAAAACATAAGTGTCATTAACAATCTGCTAAAAAATGAATGCAGTGCACAAAAATGATAGAATTGCACAAACACACGGTCCAATATGCAGACTACCGATCAACAAATATGAAAACCTTTATTTATGGTTGAGGTATATCTTTAAAGACATATCTGTGGGTGAAGAGAGAAGCAATAACAAACAAACAAAAAAAGAAAAAGAAAATCAGTCTAATGTGTCCAAATTTCACTGACGACCAGATGGAAGCTGCTTCTTATTCACTTTATGTAGTTCTGCTTGAGTCATTAAAGCCATTAATGTTCAAAACATAAATAAAAAGATATCTTCAGTTGCATCGAACCGCTGCATTAAAAATACTTTCTCCACAGAGAAAAACAAAAGACATCCGGTTGGCTTTTCACAAATCTAGCCACTCAGCCATGTAAACACAGTTAGATGGAGCGATCTCGCCCCCTTCATGACAGTCATCAAACACCTACAGAGCAGAGAGTTACTACATGTGGTTAACTTAGCACTTTAAAGGCATAGTTCACCCAAAAATGATCCAAGATGGCCTGAGGGTCTGTTCCGATAAAGAAACAAACTCATCTACAATGCTAAATCGCCTTAAGCAATACCCCAATATTGATTTATATCATGCAGCCCTACTTGTGTACTAAAAGCTTACCGGACACAGTCCACATGGTGTTTTGACCAGGCCAGTGGGCTGAATTATGGGATTCACGCCCCTGTAGAGCTTCATCTGTCCATCTACACTCCCCACCGTCCCCTCTTTAGCAGCGATTATGGTCATCTCCACCTTGCCGTCAAAGATCAATGTGTTCAGAATGGTCTCAATGTCCTCCATGGACAAATCCACCTGCACACAGGAATATCACAACATATTAAATCTATTCAGTTCATGTTTAAAAAATCTTGAAGTGATAAAGGTACAGTTCACCCCAAAAAAAAAAAAAAAATGCTGAAAATATACTCAATCTTTAGGCCAGGGCTTCCCAAACTCGGTCCTGGAGGGCCGGTGTCCTGCAGAGTTTAGCGCCAACTTGCCTCAACACACCTGCCTTTAAGTTTCTAGTATGCCTAGTAAGAGCTTGATTAGCTGGTTCAGGTGTGTTTAATTGGGGTTGGAGCTAAACTCTTCAGGACACCGGCCCTCCAGGTCCGAGTTTGGACACCCCTGCTTTAGGCCATTCAAGATATAGATGAGTTTGTTTCTTCATCAGAACAGCTTTGGAGAAAATCAGCATTGCATTATTTGCTTCACCCTCTGCAGTGAATGGGTGCCGTCAGAATGAAAGTCCAAACAGCTGATAAAAACATCACAAGTAATCCACACGACTCCAGTACATCAATTAACATCTTGTGAAGCCAAAAGCTGTTTTTTTAAGAAACAAATCCATCAAGGCATTTTAAACCGTCGCTTCCGGTTAAAATACAAGTCCATAATCACCCTGCCTCCAGTGAAACAGTCCATCCCTCTTGTGAAAAAGTCCCTGTTGTCCTTGTACATCAAAATCCACCAACATATTTGCTTAGAACGGTTTTGAACTGGTGCTCGATCTGCGCATATTTCTCTCCTGAGACAAATTTTCCACTGGAGAAAGCATTTTATGGATAGAGGACTCATTTTAGCTGGAAGGTAAAACGTCTTCATGATGGATTTGTTTCTTACAAACATGCAGCTTTTCACTTCACAAGACATTAAGAGATGGACTGGAGTGGTGTGGATTGCTTGTGGATTATTGTGATGTTTTTTATCACTCTCATTCTGACGGCACCCATTCACTGCAGAGGATTCATTAGTGAGCAAGTGATGAAATGCTACATTTCACCAAATCTGTTCCAATGAAAAAACAAACTCATTTACATCTTGGATGGTCTGAGGGTGAGTACATTTTCAGCATATTTTCATTTTTGCCTGAAATATTCTATATAGATATTATTCACACGCACTTTGCTGATGCCAAGCTCACAGATGTATTTCCACACTTCATGAGAGTTGGCAAATGAGCTGTTTCTTTGCACCATGGGGCTCTGCTTACTGTCTCTCGCAGCTTCAGCCTGAAAATATACACATTTCTATTAAATTCAAAGTCTTAAATCTTCAAGATCATAAAGAAGAATATGAAATCTCACAATCTCACCTTACTTTGCAGGAACTTAAAGCACTGTTGGTTGAGAACCTCAACAAACTCAAATCCTGATCGCTATACCAGGCGCCTCCTGTCACAGATCGGTCCGGCTGCAGGTTGTACAGCATGTAGACCTTCTTCTTTGAGGCCTGGATGGGAATGATATTTTAGTAGGTCCGAACATTTTAAATGTTTAAATAACGTTTGGAGATCAACTCACCGCAACAGACTTCACTGCTTTGATAAGTTTCTTACTCTCAAGATTCTTGAGGATTTTATTGATTTCTGTGAGTGGAAGGTTACTCTTATATCTGATGTCTCTGCTCCAAATTCCTTTCGAAATCAGAAAACATTATGAGAGCCTGTTCTAGAACACCCCCAAAACAAGATCAAGACTTTGTAAAAGAGCATAATAGGACCCCTTTAAACAAGCATTCATCAGTATAAGTAAGTGGTTTGTTGAAAAATAAAACCAAGCTAAACGCATTGTGCAAATGATAAAAATGAAATGTACCTTTATTCCCAGCATCTTCTATGATCTGGTAGACTAGTTTTTCTTGATTATCAGAGCCTTTAACTTTACTGTCAAAAAAGAAACAGTATATTAATACTCATATATACTTTTTTTATTATTATTATTTGCATGTCCATATATGTGTGTGCACACAAACTACAAGTCAAAAGTTTTTGGACAGCAAGATTTTTAATGGTTTTTAAAGAAGTCTCTTCTGCTCACCAAGCCTGCATTTATTTGATCCAAAATACAGCAAAAGCAGTAATATTGTGAAATAGTACACACACATCACAGTCACTCACTGTCCGGTCTACCGTTCACTCCTATGGACTGTTCTGGACTCTCGCTACTGAATTCTCCTAGAAATACTTACCTTCTCTTCCTCCCGCGATCCTCCAATGACTCCTTGGAATCTGTTCCACGATCTCCAACGAAACCGGCATAAGATACTCACCATCAGAACTCGGATAAGAACCCTGGAATCTTTCACTGTGTTGACACTCACCTGCCCTTACCTCACCCGTTCCATTCTTCTGCTTCTCATATAAATAAACCATCCTGTTTTGCACTTACCTGTTGTGTCTGGCCTTGCTTTGTGACAGTCACATAATCCTTCAGAAATCATTCTAATATGCTGATTTTCTGCTCAAAAAACATTTGTTGAAAACAGCGGAGTAGAATTTTCTTTTAAAATTTTCTTTTAATAGAAAGTTGAGAAGAACAGCATTTATCTGAAATAGAAATCTTTCGTAACATTATAAATGTCTTTATCATCACTTTTGATCAATTGAATGCATCCTTGAAAAATAAAAGTATTCATATAATTTAATAATACATAATTTAAATATACTGACTCGAAGCTTT